CGAGGAGGCGATGGCAGATGAGGCTGCTGGCCCGAACCCGCCCAAGGTGCCCCTGGTCGAGAAAGGCGGGACACGCGGTGGTCAAGGCCGCCCGTGGATTCGCCAAGGCAAGGGCAGGGGCAAGAGCAAGAGCAAGAACAAGGACTTCATGGACAAGGTTGGCGACAACATCGAGTGGTCGGATGCCGACCTGATCCGCATGGCCAGGGACCGCTTCGGGCCCAACTGGGAGGACGCGTTGCCTCCCGTGCTGGGAGCCATGCGGGACTGGGTCAAGGCCAAGACCTGAGGGTGGTGCGTCTCGTCGCCGCGTCGGATCCCCTCGAACTGGCCATTGGGCCGTGGCTGTGTCCCTCTCGTCGCCATGGGACGCGGCTCGTTTTGTTGGCCTTGGGCCGTCGTGGGGTCCCCCCATCGTCGCCTTGGGGCGCGGCTCGTTTTTGGCGCTGCCATCGGGCAGTGGCGGGCCCCTTCCCTCGTCGCCTTGCTGGGCCCCCATCGGCCGCCTCCATCGGGAGGTGCTTTGTTTTCCCTGGGTCTCTGGCGTCGCTCGTCGCTGTGCTGGATTCCCTTCGAAATAACCGCCATCGGGCGGTGCTTCGGGGTCCTGTGGTCTCGTCGCCATGCTGGATCCCCCTCGCTTGCGCTGGGCATTGGCCTGGCACTGTGCTTCTCGGCGTAGGTCCGAGTTGCGTGCCTAGGTAGCGGGCCTTGCAGACCAAGGCGTTTCATCAGATCCCTCAGATCCCTCCGCCTCCTCCGCCTCCTCCTCCTCCTCCTTCTCCTCCTCCGCCTCCTCCGCCCTCCTCCGCCCTCCTCCTCCTCCTCCTCCTCCTCCTCCTCCTCCTCCTCCTCCTCCTCCTCCTCCTTCTCCTCCTCCTCCTCCTCCCGCTCCCCCTTCCCCTCCCTCTCCCCCTCCCGCGGATCCGACCGGTCGGGGGCTGCGACAGGGGCGGACAACCCAGGGGTGGGGGGGGGGGGGCAGGGCAGGGCATTGCGCGCGCTCGTCCCCGAGCGAGCGCCGCCCAGCAGCCCCGGGCGATTCCCTACTACGATGCAGGGGGGACGATCACCTTCCCGTTAGGTCGGGCCCGTCCCCCTACAGGGGGATGTTGGGCGCAAAATCAGACATACTCAAAAAATTATCCCGAAATGCTTGAAATTAGTAAAAAGAAAAAAAAACCCGATGTTTCTATGTTTGAATACTCCTCATGTAGAGGGACAAGCCCGACTTAACCCTCCCTGGCCCATCCGCCCTTGCCGAAGCCCACCCCCACCCCCACCCTCAACGGCTGCAGCAGGCCCCCCAGACAGGCCTCCCAGCCCCCGCGGATTCCTCAAGATGTCCCCAGGAGGCCCGAGCCCAAGGAGATCCAGCTTTTCTCCAAGGCGGCCCCAAGAGAGCCGCCATAGTAAGACCCTCAGACAGCACCACGAGAGCTCCCAGAGGGCCCCCAAACCCGACCAGAGCGGCACAAAGATGGCTCTTTCGAGCCCCTTCGGAAAGAAGTTCGGTAGAACCATCGCGCCAAAGACGGCCCCAGGAGGCCCAACACGGCACCAAGAGGCGTTCCAGAAGCTCCGAGAGGCGGCCCCTCAGAGGGTCCGAAGAAGCCTCCGAGAGGACCCACAAAAGTTCCACGAGAAACCTCCAAGGAATCCAGAGTGTGCAACGCAACAGTTACGACCACGTCGCACCAAGCGTGCTCAACACGAGGGCCCCAACACGGCAAGATGCTGGAAGAAAGCAGCCCAGGGAAGGCACGAGGCCAGACCCAGGAGGGACCCGAGACGGCCCAACACCGACCGGCCCAAGATGGCGTCACGGCAAATCATGACGCGAATACCATGCATCCCGATAGCTCTTGCACCCTACGCTCAAGACTACCCCTTCACGTGCAGAGCCCTGGGATCCCCCCCCCAACGGCACCGAGATCCCCCCTGGCGGCCCAGCACATCCGAAGGGACCCAAGAGGCACTGGGCGAGCAGCGGGTCTGGTGAAGAGGCCCGTGCCTCAGCCGAGATCGGCACCCGTTGCCACCAACAAACCGATCGAGAGCTTGGAAAGCAACAAGCACTCGTCGCGCCAAGAATGAGGCTGCCGAGTGCCCAGACACCCGATATCCTTCGGCGGCGAGCGAGGGGGGGAAGTGAGAAGGGCAGGGCCTTCTCAGAAGGCGGCGGGACTCCTCGAAGCCCTCGCGCCTCCTGAGAGGTGGTTGTGTCTGCGGTGAAGGCTTCGAGAACGTCTCAGACGGCGTGGGGCCTTCCGAGCCTTCTGAGAAGGCCCGCCCCTTCTCGTTCGCCCCCTCGCTCGCCGCCGACACGCCAGACTGGCTGGGCACCCTGATCGACCACGAGGCCTCCTCTCACTCGGCTGCGCTCCCGCAGGAGCCCGATACACCCGGCGGCAAGCGAGGGGGGGGGGGAAGCGAGAAGGGGCGGGCCTCCACAGAAGTCTCGGAAGTCCCCTGGCCTTCGGAGAAGTTTGTTAGCCTCCCGCGATAGCACAAAAAAACCTCTCAGAGGGCGCGGGGGCTTCTGAGAAGACCCGCCGCCTGATGAGACGGCCTTCTCCTTTTCACTGCCCCCCCTCGCCCGCCGCGGAGGCGTGGCACGAGCGGAGGAGGAAGAGGAGGAGGATCGAGGGAGGAGGAGGAGGAGGAGGAGGAGGAGGAGGAGGATCGAGGAGGGAGGAGGAGGAGGAGGGATTGAGGGAGGAGACGGAGGACGGAGGAGGAGGAGGAGGAGGAGGAGGAGGAGGGAGGAGGGAGGAGGATCGAGGGAGGAGGACGAGGAGAGGATCGAGGGAGGAGGCGGAGGAGGAGGCTGAGGGAGGAGGCTCGAGGGAGAGGCTCGAGGGAGGAGAGGAGGAGGAGGAGAGGAGGAAGAGGAGGAGGAGGAGGAGGAGGAGAGGAAGAGGAGGGAGGAGGAGGAGGAGGAGGAGGATCGAGGAGGGAGGATCGAGGGAGGAGGATCGAGGGAGGAGGCTCGAGGGGAGGAGGCTCGAGGGAGGAGGAGAAGGAGGGAGGAGGAGGAGAGGAAGAGGAGGAGAGGAGGAGGGGAAGAGGAGGAGGAGGAGGGACAGAGGGAGGAGAATCGAGGGAGGAGGCTCGAGGGAGGAGGATCGAGAGGGAAGGAGGAGGAGGAGGAGGAGGAGGAGGAGGAGGAGGAGGAGGAGGACGACGACGAGGAGGACCGAGGCCCCCCGTCGCTCGCCGCCGCACGCGCGCGCCGCAGGCGGGGGCCGCGGGCGGGGCGCGGGCGGGGCCGCGTGCAGGTGCTCGAGCGCCCGCAGCAGCTGGGCCGAGATTACCTGGCGCGCCGCGGGGGCAGCACGCCTCGTCGGCGTGCCGCGGCCACCCGCAAGTGACAACCTACCTGTGGCGGCCAAGACCTGAACATCACGTAACAAATGATCCCTTCGCTGTCCAATCAGCCTTTTGTGCATATGCATGGGGAGGCCAAGCTTCTTCTTCCGTGCATGGGGAGGACCAGTGGCGCGACTCATCTCCGAGGCCAGATGGTGAAAAGGTGTATGAAAAGTTTGGCTGTCTTGGGGGAGGGGGGGAAACATAGCGCCACACACAAAACATAACCTTTTGGCGCTCCGCGCGGATTCTTGGATCCGTGCTGGACCCCCTTCGCTGACGCGCGGAGCGCGCCAAGGATGGCGCTGGAGGCGGCGCCAGCCGGGGGGGGGGCTCAGCGCGGATCCCCCAAAGAAACCGCGCGGGGCGCCCAAAGTTCATGTGTATGGCGTGTTTCTTCTTCGAGGATGGTGAACAGGCGTGCGAAACATTTGGCTGTCCACCTCCCCCTTTCCCCATTGCCCAGGGTCCGAAATCACGTCTGCGGTGGGGTTTCGGGGGGTCGGGGGGGGAGGGGGGGGGGGCTGGCTCCCTGTGAGGCACCCCTGGGGCCTCCGGAGCCTGCCAAAATCCACCCTCCGTGGCGGCCAAGACCCCAGGGTGCGTGCTAAGATGGCTCCAGGAGGGCCCCAATACGCCAGAGAGGCAGCAGAAACATCCAACACAGTCTCAAGGCGGCCGAAAACGCCCCGACAACAAACCCGAGAGGACCCCCCAAAGAGGGCCCCAAGATGCCGAAAACAGCCACCCCCCACGAGCCTTTACACGATCTTCGCGCTCTCGGCCCTCGGGCGCCTGCGCGCCCCAACCGGCCCAGGAGACCCTCGAAGCGGCCCGGAGACGGCCAGAGCGGGCCCCAAGACTGACGACCTACCAAACCACCCCAACCCAACCCGAAGACCCGAACTTCGGGTTGGGGGGGGTGCGGGTTCCTCATGTGTTTGCTCGATGTTCCCCGACCCCCCTCCCCCAACCGGAAATGGAGGTCAACTTGAGGCCTTCGGGTTGGGTTGGGGTGGTTTGGCGGGTGGTGAAAGACGGCCCCCGAGGCCCCCAAGGACGGCCCCCGAGGCCCCCAAGGAGGAGGAGGAGGAGGAGGAGGAGGAGGAGGAGGGAGGATTAGGAGGAGGAGGAGGAGGAGGAGGAGGAGGAGGAGGAGGAGGAGAGGGGGAGGCGGAGGAGGAGGGGGAGGAGGAGGAGGAGGAGGAGGAGGAGGAGGAGGAGGAGGAGGAGGAGGAGGAGGAGAGGGAGGGAGGCTCTCCAAAAAAAACACTCCTAGGGCCCCAGGAGCATCGACGGAGCTCCAAGAGAGGCCGCCACCCTGGGCCGCCGGCAGGCCCCGCGGAGTGCCCCCCATCCGCTCCGGGAGTGCTCGAGAACGCTCAGACGAGACCCCCCGACGGCTCCCGAAAATCTCGAAAGACATCCCCCCAGCTGCACGAAGGGGGCCTCGAACAGGGCCCAGACAACATCAGAGACCGTCCTGTTGTCCCCGAGATCCTCCTCGTGTTCCTCCTTCCTCTCGCTGTCGTCGGTGTCTGTGTAATCATTGTTCCATCCTCTCCCTCACTCTCCGAATCCCAGGATGAGAAAATTACATCGACCATCCGCGACGTCACTCTGGGAGCGTCTCGATTCATGCGCGACGCGCAACCTATTTCAGTGCTCCCCCCCCGATAGGCGCAAGATAAGTGAGCCCCGCACACGGGATAGCGACGGCACGGCGGCCCCTCCGCCGACACACCCGGACACCGGAAGGCATCCCATGCGCGCGACTGCGTCCGAGAGACAGCCAGCAAGCACCCAGGAAACTCCGACGAGGCCCCACGGCGCCCACAGGGTCTCACTTCGTCCGCGGGTCGGCGGCATGGCGCAAGCCTCCTGCATGACACATCGTCCCTTCGTTGCCTACACGTCGTTCATTTCTAATCGTGTTCCTTTCTAACTGTGCTCGTTCCTAATTGTTCCTGGCCCCCTAGTGGCCAGGAAGAGGCCCAGGATAGGGCAAGTAGAAATGAGAGGATCTTGGCCCCCCAAAAAAGCCAAAGAATTTTCGAAGAATTGGAAACGAGCAGTGTGCAAGCCTCTTGAATGATAAGTCATCCCCTCGTTGCCCAATCAGCCTTGGCATCTGCCCGAGGCGGCCATGACCTGTTCCGTGCAAGGGAGGGCCAATGGCCCAACACGCATCTCCGGGGCGGGATGCTCCTCTCGTGACCCGCCGCGCCCCGCGCTCGTCCAGGATCCTTCCCCCGATTCACCCACGAGCCCAACCCCCTGGAAATCTATGCGGCGCAGCACAGCGCGAGCACACTGCAGTACGATGCAAAAGCAGCACGAGGCAGAGTAGTGCAACGCAGCACAATGCGCAGCATCGCCACGCAACTCGGAGCTGAGCAACGCGACCGAAAGCAGCGCAGCGCAAAACGGAGCGATGCGAGGCAATGCAGAGCAAGGCAAGGCGAAGCAGTTCTATGCAATGCAGAGCTGAGGAAAGTCAAAGCCAGATAAAGGAAGATAGCACTGAAGTATGCAATCCAGTGTAGACCAAAACACACATCAAAGCACTGCACGCAGACACATCAACGCAGTAACTTGTGACAGCTGGACTTGAGTTTAATACGAGCTTCAGCTGTCTTCAGCTTGCCCTCAGTCTGATCTTCAAGTAGAACCACGCGCGCGCTTCGCGCGCGCTTAGGTTCTAATGCTCCTCACACGGCGCCCAGGTGCTAATTGCTTCTCTAACCATGGCCATTGGCGTCAAAAGATTCCTTCCTAGCGGGCCATCAAGAACCATGGGATCGACGTCGTGTGAGTCTGGAACCTTACAGAAAATGGTTCGGAGATTTGTCCGACACGCATTTATTTGCTGGAACCTCTTCGGACGAATATGGGGCTGACTGCAAACGTCTGCTGAGTAGCCATGTTGCAGGCATCTGGCCAATAGATAACTGTCTGGGGCCGTCTGGGGCCGTCTGGGGGCCGTGTCGGCGGTGTTGGAGACCTCTTGGGCCGTCGTGGCGGCGGCTTTGGGCCGTCTTTGATGCTGGCAGCAGGAGGTGACTAGAGATGTGTGCCGTTAAAACGCTCAAGCAGATGCAGCTCCCTGAAACGAGGGTGGCGTGAGAGAAGGGGGAGGGTGGGCTTGCGCCTGCAACGCAGGCGCACAAACACACACACACACATACGCTCGGCAGCTTGTACTGCCGATCCGCGCGGCCCCAAGAGGAACAGAAGAGTGGGGCTCAAGGTGGGCGGCAGCGAGACTTGAGAGCGGAAAATGAATAGAGTGGGCGGCAGCAAGACTAAAGAGCGGAAGATGAGGGCCGGTCAGCGAAGATGGTGCCAAGCTGGAACCAGCGCGCGCGACAGGCACAACAGTGCTCAGCACTTCCCGCACGAGTTCGCGCACAATGTAGACATCACAACCATCAAGTGTCCCATCGCCGTATCGGTGCACATGTCTGCCTTAAGGTCGAGGATGCCTGTGCACGCAGTCGCCTCCACGAGGCCAGCGGTTTTGTCTGGATAGGTTCCCCTTGCTATTGCGAAGGCAGCAGCGTTGTAGTCCTCGCAATTGACCATCTTCTGCTCAGCTTGAAGCGCCGCCGCACTGGTCTCGGATCCTCCCGTAACCGTCCTCTTCAGCTCACCAGGTTTTGCGGCGAGCACTTCGTCCATCCTGCTCCCCAATATTCCGCCTTCCTTCCCAGCCAAGCCAGCCGCGCCAGAGAAGGCGACCATCGCAAGCACGACGAACAGCTTAGAAGCCATCGCGCGAGTCCTGGCTGAGTCCTGCGGCAAATGGAGCGTAAGAGTGTCTGTGTGGTACAGCCTCCTTCGGCACAGAGGCTTGAGGCACAATGGCTTTACTCTGGCAGTCGGCCAACATCGTCTGGGCAGTCAAAGCGGCTCGCTGTTTGCAATGGGCACTGGGCCAACCAAGTCTGCTGGCAACTCAATCAGGACCATCAGATGGGGAAACCGAAAGGCACCGATACCGCTGCTCTTTGGGCCTCTCCTGGGGTGCGGTCTGACCAGAATTCCGAGGCGAATCCAACGGTGGCGACGAGGGCCACCCAGGAGGGCGGAAAAGGGGAAAACGGGCGAGGGGTAGCGGTATGGGTACATTTTCGCCCTCTGATCAAAAGCGATGTGGGAAACTGGATCTAGTGAGAGAGTTGAAAACTCTGGGGCCCCGCACTGCACAAACCAAGCGGTCGCGGGTCCACACAAGCACCAGGACCTCCGGACAAAAGGCCCCGGGGTCCAGCCACCAGGGGGGGTTCGTGAAGCGTGACTCGTCTCCGCGCTGGACCCACTTCCAGTTTGGAAATACTCGCTACAACTGTGCCCTGAGAGGCAGGTGCTCGCTGAACGCGCATAGGCGACATGTACACGCCAAGCGCGCGCAGCGCGTTTCTTTTTAATGGTGGCAGATGGTACGTTGAAGAATGGGGTGGTGGCGAAGTAGATGATGATGATGATGATGATGATGATGATGATGATGATGATGCTGATGATGATGATGACGACGACGACGACGACGATGCTGATGATGATGATGATGATGGTGATGATGATGATGATGATGATGACGGTGATGATGATTATTAGTAGTAGTATGGTGATGATGATGATGATGATGATGATGATGATGATGATGATGATGATGATGATGATGATGATGATGATGATGGTGATGATGATGATGATCATCACCATTATCATGATGACCGTTGCACGGGCACAAGCAAAGTACCCCGCCTGGCCATCGGCGTCCATTAGGTCCAATTGCAACGACACTGTCGAGTCATTGAGCCGCCAGCGCTGTGATGGAGCCTGGATGAGCGGAATCGGGGGGGATCATTAAGGCCTGCGTCAAAACAAAGCTCCAGGGTGGAGCCAGTGAGGATACTGCGCACGGTCCCCCACTCTCCACCACAACCGGAGCCTGAGGACAAAGAATGATGCAACGAATACGTCGGATCCATCTGCCGGTAGGCCAGTGACGCCGTGGAGTCATTGGTGGCGTAGGTCATGGGAGGAAGCATCATCACCAACATCACTACTGCCTTCCACACTACCGCGATCTCAACAAACGATGCCAGTTTGGACCGCCAAGAAAAGAACAATGGTTGCGATACAGATTGGAAGCCCCGCTTGGGCTAGTCTTGAGCCCATTGGCCACGGAGCGGCTTGGGCCGTGTTGGGGGCGACTTGGGGCAATCGTGGTTCGTCACAGGGTGCTCTCGGGACATCTTGGACCGTCTTTGGGCCCTCTTGCGCCGCCAGGGGGTATATTCGACCGTGCTGGAACCTATTGAAAAACTTTCCTGTTGGTGCAATTATATGTTTGGCTCCTCAGCGGCCTGGTGGAGCGTCTTAGAAGCCTGGCCAGGTCTCTTGGGAGCCTCTTGGGTTATCTCAGGCGGCTTTGGGACCACTATTGGAGTAATGTTGAGCCATCTTGGGGCTGGTGGCGTCATTTGGGGTCGTCTGTATGTATTTGGGGCGGCTCGATGGCCGAATGAGCTGACCCATAGCGGCTGGAAATACTGCAGAGAAGGTGGCGCGACACATCGCAACTTCAGGAAAAGATGGCATTGCAAAAATCACCCGCGCACGCGAAATTGCCCAAATCACAAACAGCCCCACTACTCCTGGGCCTCAGATAGCCCCTCCAATCGAAAATCTCGCAACGAGTAGCTGTGCGCCACTACCGGCCCGCCGCCGTTCTTCACGGAGCCAGGACCGCCGTCAAACACAAAATGGCCCTCGAAATACGCACCCTCGTCGGCGAGAAGCGCGGGCAGCCAGAACACGTCGTCTGCCCACATGTCAGCGTAAGGCACGTCGCCGATAGCAACTGCGGCCACGTCTCCGCCTAGGGCCGCTGCAGCAGCGCTGCAGTCGGCGAGCGGGACCTCCAAGACATAGACGCGCATGGGCGCAGCTGTGGCACTCTTGAAAGTGAACAGCATCGCACCAGCAGGCCGTGCGTTCGCCAGATGAAACAAGCCTGGGTGCGCGCCGAGGAACATACCAGACGCTGACGCAGGCGACAAGATCTCGGAGACTACCTCTTGCCACCGCTCCTCCCTTGAAGACGCAGCGTCGGACCGCGCGAGCTGTACCCCGTAGTGCAGCCGCCAACCCAGGGCGTTCGGCACCTTCAGCAAGACCTTTTCCTGTGCCCTGTCGACGAACACCAACATGGCGTTCTCGCTTCCGTTATTCAGGCTCGCTGCTGGGACGTCGTGGATCGACTTCGCTCCCGCTGCAGACAGCGCCGCGCCCGAGATTGGCTCAGCGATCAGCGGCGCCTCACGCTCGGGAGCGGCGCGCGATTCTTGCTCAGACATGGCTCAGTGTGAGTTGCCAGAACGTGCGGAGTTCTCGAGGCAAACAACACGATTCGACGACTGCTCGCAAGATGTACGCAAACGCCCGCACGACGATGTACAGATAACTTGAGCCCACATGACGAGAGGAGGACGAAAAGACGACGACGACGACGAGCAGCGCAGTAGTTTGGTGTGGGAAGCTCGCGTTGACTTTAATGTAGGCTGGTGTTGATGTGAACGTGCTCTTCAGTGCTCACACTGGAAGGATCCTCGAGGATGCCGTCATAAAGGATTGGTAAAATCTTGCAGTCAGTTTCGGCAGGCGGCTGGGTCACTGGATCCCTGGTCTTAGTGCCGCCGATTTCGGCAGGCGGCCAGGTTACCCGGTTCCAGGGCTGTGGGTCTTGGTAGAGATTTGGCGCCGACTCTGATGGGCGGCAGGCTTTTGGCTTCTGAATTCCAGGTTCGTGGGGTGTTGGGTTTCTGGGCGTGGCCAGGTTCCTGGGGCCTCGAGTTTAGGCATCATAAAATAGAGAGATAAGACAGCGCAGAGGGGGTATAGAGAGAAGAAAGATAATGGAAAGAAAGTAGAAAGAGAGAGAGAGAGAGAGATTGAAAGAGAGAGAGAGAGATATTGAAAGAGAGGGTAGTGAGAGAATCGAGTAAACAGAGAGTAGAAACAATAGAGAACGTACCTCGAAAAACAGAGAGAGAGAGAGAGCAGGTAAAGTAGAGCCAGTAGAGAGAAAGGAGACCAGCGTACAGATAATACAGGTACATCTGAAATCGTCAAGATACTAAAGCATGGAGCGCGATGCAGTGGAGAAAGAAGACTGCAAATGATATATATATATATATATATATATATATCAAAGGGAAAAGAGTGGAGAGGCGAGAGTATATGATAGAGTGTAGAGTATAGGGCAGAGCGTACAGAGTAGGTGTAGACATCAAGTGTGGAACAGGCAGGTGGCCCAAAATGACGTCAGAGGAGGGGGGTGGGGGTCCCTACGAGCTCGTCAAGGGCTCTTCCTGGCTCCCAGAGCTTCCAATCCACCCGCCGTCGCCTCCAAGACGCCCACGAGGCCTTCCAAGCAAGTCACACAGGGCGCAGATACGCCCAAAGGCCCCAAAGAGCCAGAGACAGCCTCAAGACGGTCTCAAGAGTACCCCCAAGAGGGCCTCGAGAAGCAACACCCCATGATGTCTCGCGCGCTGCTAAAAGCATTCTCATGGTCTCGCCTCGTCGAGCGCATGCAAGCCCGCAACGGCACGAGAGCCCCCCCCAGACTGCCCCAAAGTGCGGTCCAAGAGGCCCCCGAGGAGGCTCCGAGACGGCCCCAGCACGACTCAAGAGTCCCCCCAAACGGCACTCTACGCTTTAGAAAGGGGAGCCGCGGAGCCCAAGCAGGGGCCCAAGACAGGCAGACGCGGGGGGGGAGCCCGCGCCGACCCCGGGCGCCCCCCCCCCGCAGAACGGCCCCGGGTGCCCCCGATAGACCCTCGAGGAGGCCCCAGGAGGGACCCCCAGAGCCCCCGGGAGCTCTGCCAAAGCTCCAAGAGGCCGCCCCCTCTGGCATCCAGCTGCCCCCCGAGAGGACCCGTAGCAGACACGCAGGGCAGGCAGCACGAAAGGAAGCGTCAGACAACACACGCACACACACACACACACACGAAGTCGGAAGACATACGTCCCTCCTCTTCCCGGGGTCGGCGGAACGGCGTAAGCCTCTTGAATACAACACACAGACGGGCCCACATTCGCGCCCTGTTACCAGACTGATTTCTTGCCTCTCCTACATATACGCATGGATGACTCTCCGACACAGTTAATGCTTCCAGCCGTGCTCAGGCAAAGAATCGGCATCATACCGTGTGACGCGTCTAACTTTTTCAAAGTTGCATCCCAGTCACCATGCGCGCGAGACTCGCCAGGTGGAAAACGAAAGGGAGCTCGCGGTACGCTCTCTGCTGAACTCGCCCTGGCTATGCGCGCTATGTTGCTAAGAGTTACACATGTTCTGTACCATTAATGTGTTACCCCCTTTGGGCAACGCGCCTGGCGCAGATACATGCATAGAGGATGTCTAAGCAAATATGTGGCGAAGGAGGACGAAGAGGACAGACGATGAGGAGTGAGAGAAAAATGAAAAGGATACGAAGGGGTGCGGCAGACCCAGACATCCGACGACTGGATGTTTCGAGTCGATGGCCCCCCCGAGTTCACGACCCCTTCCGCAGGGCTGGCTTCATCCCGAGCCCTTTTTTCCTGCCCCCGGGCGCTGGGAACGGCCACCAGGCGCCGAAAATTGCGAAACAAATGTGGCGCGATGTTTCGAACCGCCAGTGATGGGCCTGTTTTCCACCACCACCACCATAAGTTTGACGGGGAGGAGGAGGAGGAGGAGGAGGAGGAGGAGGAGGAGGAGGAGGAGGAGGAGGAGGAGGAGGCGGAGGAGGTGGAGGAGGAGGAGGAGGAGAAGGAGGAGGACCCACTCCCAATCCAACTTATGGTGGTGGTGGTGGAAAACAGGCGCATCAGCCAGCACTCTGGGCCCCTCGACTACCTCAGCGGGCGCAGCAGGCCCAGAGATCCGCTGTGTTGGTCTGTTCAGTGCAGAGCCTTCCGAGGTTCCGACCCTTTCCCCGAGGCCCGGTTCTGCACCCCCGAGTCGTGTTTGCCACTCCCAGGGGCCCAGCAAGGGCCCCCCCCGCAGGCCGAAAGTGGCGGCGCGCGCGAGGGGGTGGGGGGAGGGGAGGAGGGGACGCTTCTTGGAAGGA